GGCCATGCAATAGAACCTCCACGACCAATCCATTTATTTGCAAAGTGTTGATTGAAAAATTGCCTAGCCACTCGGCTAAAACGCGGCGGAGCTCCATCATGCATAAAACCGCATACTAGTCTAATATCGACTGGAACTTTCTCTAATATTTCGTGTAAACGCGTGCTCAAAAAATCACTCGTACTTTGTGCCTGTTAGTTTCCCATCAAGAAAAAAGGGTCCAATTAAAAATTTATCAATTATTCCTGCCCATACGTTTAAACTAAACTGGTGTTGATATCTTCAATGCACAATAACATGTGGGTTTTCTTCATCCCAATTATGATTATTATGAAAATTGAATATACCAACCCTGGTAAAACTAGCTTACTAGAATTTGCTCTGTGTATAAAATTCATTATATCTCATAAACGAAGACAGATAGGACATACATTTATACGACTTTTTTTCATTATTTTTAGGCGTACAATCAGCTCCCGAAGTGGGTCCCACAAGTTACGAAACCTCTAGATATATGCATATATATCTGGAGACTTTTAAGCGGAAGTGTACATTTCCTCCCTTTCTCCTGTTTGCTTTTTGTTAAATATTCAAATTCGAGAAAGGAAATCGCGAAAACCGGGGAAGGCAGAGACGAAAAAAAGAAAAAAAAAAAAGAAAAACGCAGAGGTGGACGCAGGAGGAACGCAAGAAGAACAAAAAAAATGGGACAACGGATAGGCGTTCACGAGGCGATCGCGCGGAGAAAATGAATTCGCGCGCCGCCACCTGCCGATCCGCCAACAGAGCTCGCGCATACATCGGGCTCGCCGATGAATATTTCACGATTTCCGGCTTTCGCCTCGATTTCGCTTTGTCTCTCTGTTTTCGGGAAATGGGTTAGCCGGGCTCGCGCGCGGATACCGTTTGCCATTGCTTTCGTTTTCGCTAATAGAGTTAACGTTACCTTTATGCAACGATGCCTGGCGCCACGGTTTATCGTTTCAATTGTGACATTTTGTGGTTCCACGTATTTGGGATTGGTAAAAGGAACTGTTGTTGTTTGAAGAGGAGAGGATCGTTCGAGGGTTGGAAATATTTGACGAAGGAAACTGACTTAATCTTTCTGCAATTTTCTCTTTATATTTTGTCGCCACGCCACTTACTGAAATTAGTACACAGGCCGCCTGTTAGATAAATTTATCTTTACGAATAAATTTTTACACTCCATATAGGCAAATATAGTATTATATAGACTTTAGTTCATCCCCATACCTAATATTTTTACTGTTTTAGTCTTTCAACCATTTTTCACGAATAAATTAAAAGCTGAGGACCTTCACGTTCACATCTAATTTTATCTTTATTTTACGTATGAATCATTATTATTTAAATGATAATAATTAAACAGTGATGAAATCAATATTATTTCCACTTTCTAAAACAATTATAAAATAAAAGGAACATCTGAAATCCAGTGTCAATGAAATTTTTATTGTATTATATAGTTAGTTTTTCGAATGAAATCTTTGATGGATGTTTCTTAGAAGGAATAACGAAGTTTGTATAGCCAAATTTACGAGTGAAATTTCGTTCAGGGTGTAAACGATCCAGGTTGCCCGTAGAGTCGTTAATATTAAATTTAATTCGGGTCTAGTTTTAAGTCTGTTAGATTTAGTGGTAAATAATTAATTACGAGAAAGTTTTAATATATACTGGATTGGCCACTCAATGATTAATTTTATACACGCATATTTCTGTTTCTCTCAGATGTTATTACGTCATATAGTCCAGCGCCAGTTGGAGGTTGGGATATTGAGTAATTTCCATAACGATGTTTAGTCAGCAATGCATGCTACCTATACACGTAAACTGAACGTGTAAATTATATACACGTTTATACGTGATGTAAAATTTTATAAAGAATAAATAATTAAAAAAAAAAATCTTTGAGAATTTATTAATCCTTCCCTTGGGAATTCCAATTTAATAAATTAATAGCGATTGTCAATATTATACTTATTATATATATTATTCAACAAAGGGCATAACTGAGCCAATAAACGATAAAAAAATTGTCGATAATTTGAACTGCTACGACTTTGTAAAAGAAAATCATACAACGATTCATTTTATCACATTTCAAAGCGTAAAACCTTCGCTTTGACAGTGTCCTGGAAAGATTTATTATTTTATATAAATTTTTATATTATTTATATATAAATTAAATTCTTCTACTATAAATTTAATAAATGTAATTCCTCTATTACAAATTTCAAGAACCTCAAAGTGCTTTTCAATAATTCGATGCTTCAGAAAACTGAAGCGATAATAAAGTCTACGTCGATAAAAAGAATAGCCAAAAGTAAAATAGACGCGATCGAGTTTTCGCGATTGGTCAGTCCTCGGTATTATCTTAAACTCATCCTCGAGAAGAGTCTCTCTGAGTTGAACGGCTAAAAGATCGGCCGTGGAGAAGCAGATGCTGGCCATGAAGCAGCCAGCAAGTACAACGAACAAGCCCAGCAGAGTCCACACGAACAGTCTCAGGTTCATCCCCGGTCTGAAACAAAAACGAAGAATCGTCCGTTGTCATCAATAACTGGGTTGCTTAATCTGTAACCTTTATCTAAGACAGTGGAGAACCGATCCCGAACCGGTCACAGACTAATTTTCCGCCGGCCCTTCAATTTTCACACTCGTACGTGCTGTACGTATCCGTGTGAATTGAGAGGGGGCGCGAAAATCTGTAGCCGCCGACTAAAACCGCGGAGATACGTTAACGAGCGGAGGGGTTAATTAAAACAAATGAAACCTCGTAACTGGAGTATCGGCGGAATTACTTGAAAATTCTGACAAATCGATTGGCCCATCGGCAAGCGGCCATTTTCCAATTCGCGTGCTCTCTGCCGGAGGAAAAGAACAGATGATGGAGAGAGAGAGAGAGAGAGAGAGAAAGATGGGAAAATTAAGAAAAACACGCCAGAGGTTAATTCTCCGGCCGTTCTCCAATGAGGTTACGTTCGAATCCACTTTCCGCTACCCTCTTTTCACCCCTCGTTCATCTATCTCGTTCCCTTTTCACCACCCAGTTTGAAGAATCGTAAGTAACTGACTGCTTTACGATTGTCATCGTTCACAGCTTGGATTCCTCTATAAATTTTGACGATCGTCGAGTTCATTCGGTGATTTGACACGCGATCGAGGTTTCTGATGTGGATAATGATGAAAAAGAATTCTTTCGTCTTCGACAATTATTTTTTTTCAATTATTATATGGAAACAAAGTGAAAGAATAGTAATATAAACTTAAAAACATAAACTTAAACTACATTTCTTTCAAAGTAATAAATAATCAAGTGCCATTATCTACGACGTAAAAATTGTCTCTTGTTTTTCGTTGATATAAAAATAAAATATACGCGAATTAAATGAATAAAGTGAAATAGGTATTAAGTTATATACGTCACAGTATTATTCTACATTATTGTATATATTATTATATTATTTTAAATTGTAATATGTATCATCATGTCATTATTATTTTGAATTATTACGTAAGTATCAAATTACAAATTATTACCGCGTATCAAAATATTAAATTGACATAATTATAACAAACAATTTTGGAATATTATGTCCAACTGATATATCTCTATTCAACTGTATAAATCAAGTTTCTTTCAACTTTTCATTCTCTAAATTCAACTCATTTTTACAATTCGTTGAAAGTGTATTTCGACTATAACGCAACTACGATACTTCTTTCTTAAAATGATACATTGCATCAGATTTTTAGTCAAACGTGATCTGCCACAGCATGCAGCTGTGAAAGTTCTTCCTTTTTCTTCCATGCAAGCCAACAATTTAGAAAAATCCAATACAGTACTTTTGCTTCTCAGTTTCTCTTTTGCCCTTCATTTTGACATCTGCGTTTTCTTTTCAAATTTCCTATGTCTATGTTCTCGACGTATACCCCATTCTCCTCGGCAAAGGCAAATCCTGGCTTCTGATTTTTCAACAGTTTTTTCTACATCCCTGGTGGATAATAGGAGCACACATTGTGCCAGCGTAGATCCGATTACAAGGACCAATTGATCGTATTCACGCACACCCGACGCCCCTAATGAATGCTTCAATCCGACGAATCTCCGTTCGCGGCGCGGTTTTCCCGGGAAAATATCAAGAATATCCCGTCGTTGCTCTCGTTAACTAATTTACGCGAAATCACAGTTCCCGATCCGACTGATTCGCAATTTGGCCAGTATTGTCCCGTGAAATTCACCCCTCGATTCGTCAGCCTTTTACACACGCCGCTCTCGCTTTTTTAATTGTGCTAATTTTTTACTTTTCATTTTTAAATTGCACCGATAATTAGACTGAGTATACTGTGCCATTAACGCCGGTTCACGAAAGTATTTGCACATTTATCAGAGAGAATATTACTGTACGTGAAATTACATATATAAAACTATTTGTTTTGGAATTTTGTTATCAACGTAATCAATGGATCGTGGATATTTATTGGCAATTTCATAGCTAGTGCTATAGTTCGAATAATTTTCTGTCTTCAAAGTTCTCGTAATTACAGTGGAGAGCAAAAGAAAGTGTACTTTTGCATAAATTGCAACGATCAAGAAATTACGAAAATACCATTTAATCTAATCCCTCGGATTTGTTAAATTAAATTAAATGTTAAATTAAAAAAAATTTTTCAAGAAAAATGTCTCAAACAAAATAATTTCTTAACCTAGCCACGAATGTCACGAATGAATCAATAATTATATCATCCACGCTTCAATGATATCGTTTTCATTTCAACAATTCTCAAATTAATATTAATAATTCGAGAATTATGATTCTCTCAAGTACGAGGACGAAGAAATAGTTTCACGAATTATTCCACGCTTTTTCTCAATGCAGAAGATTAAGGAACATGTAATTTTATGAAATTATCAAGTTAAGAGTAGTTGGAGAGTAAAAAGAATTCTCGTGAATTATTCTACACGCTTCTTTGACGCAGGAGATTGCGAAAAGTGTAATCTTGTCAACGGAAGTAAAATTACCCTTCAGCATAGTGGAAGTAATTGTAGCACAGCTTCACGCCCACCAGATTATGTGCGAACACGTAAAGACCGTATAACGTCATCGTTCTAAATACCAGCCCGAAGAGGCTTCTCTCATCGAATCGCAATTTCGTCGTGATCACGAACGAGACAAACACTCCCATGAAAAACAAAATGAATCCGATCAGGAGGTTGGCGAAAATCGCGAGCACTAGGTAACGATGGAGACGTTCCCTCTGAGTTTTCGTGAATTTTATATCGAGCACCGCCATTTCGATAATGTCTTTCTTTTGTTCCATCAACGCCCTCTTGCATGATTAATTATTAATTACCAGCGAATTTTTTTTTTTTTACAAAATTATAACAGTAGTTTAATTATTAAATCTTAATTAATTTAAATTAAATTACTTTTGTAGTTTAATTATTAAAATTGAGTATTTTGAAGTTTAAGTATTTAGTATTTAGTGTAATTTTTTTTTTTTAATAAAGAAGCAATGTAAAGATAGACCGCAACGTTTTGTAATTATTGTATTTGCAGATAATATTAATGTTGACACTGTTAAAATTTTGTGAACAAAGGAATCGTATAATAATAAACTTGAGCTAATATCGAAGACTCTACTTTCAAAATGCATCGCTTATTTTATTTATTTTGAAAATAGAAACTACAATGCTTAAAGTTTATCGTTTGTACGATTTCTTTTTTCACAAAATTATAACAATTTTAATATTTATATCCGAATGTTAGTGCGAGTCACTGTATACAAATTTTAAATTAATTTCAATTTCTGATTTAAAATTTCATACATTATTCATAATATTAACCCATTAAAGGCCAAAATTGCCTTCAACCAACTTATTGCAATCAATCAACTTATACCATCAAATTCTACTTTTCGATATTAAAGTTCTAAAGATTAATTTAATCATAAATTTTTCTACCACCACCTAGAGTCTATATAATCTTACGAAATTTCAAGGAAAATACTGTAAATTATTGTTTGATCCTTGATGGATTCGTGATTTGCCAAACTACTCTTATTTACCATCATTTCACTCAGAGAGAAGAATTCTATTGTTAATTAATAAATTATTGCGCGAAACGATCCACAGATTCAATTAAACTGAAAAGAGAGAAATAAATCCGTATCGATGCGATCCAATTGGCCGTCTCGCTGTCGCGCGATTCGTTTCGAATTCTGGCAGTCGCGTCGAGGCCAGTCTGTTCAGAGGCTAAGGATCAGGAATTTCCTCATTCTCGCCACGGGGAACTGTACTCGCCGTGGTATTCCTATGGTATCCAGAGAGCCTTCCTGCTGAACCATGTTCCATGTTTACAGAGTGAAGCACCTTGAAACAGAATCTTGCTGTTACATTTATACGTAATGTCTTAGAAAAGTATTCAGATACTCGTAGAAACCTATTCTATTATCTGTAAATACTTCGATAATTTAATATTAACCAAAGACTCGAACAAAAATACAATAACGTTTTAAATTATTTTTGTAAGTGTCAGTCCTTAGAATAGCGTTATTATTTTTATCAAGGATTTTTATATTAAACATAATGGGTTTAAAAATACTTTCAGATTAAATCCGATCGAAATATATTTAATTCGTACAATAATTACGTAAATTTTATACTGCACGAGACGTTTCGAAATTATTAGCACGAAATTTTCTATAGCAAATGTGTTCGAATACTTTCACGAGCCACTATAGGTATCATTGTACGCTCTCGTTTCCAACTTTCGATCCACCATTTTCGTGCCTCTCTCTTTCCCCTCTCTTTAAAACAGTTTCCAAGGGGAATTATAACAACTGCTCTAACGGTACGTTAAACAGCATAATAATATAAAGAATCCGGAACTTGTTCCACCGCCGAAGAAATAAAGTCAAAGAAACTTCGGGGAAATTTCGCAGCGTTCTTCCATTACACTTATTACACTTGAAACTAGCACTTGCGAAACTTGAAACGCGAATTTCCACTCGTGCTCAATCGTTCTCGAGTTTTCTGCCGGGCGATACAAAATCGCGGGGACACGCGAATTGGAAACGACGAAAAGGAGGGCACGGACAACGATCCCACCTCTTTCGTACATAGGCGTGCTATACTCACCCCTTCTCTGTCACCTGGGTGAAAATCGTTTAAAGCGGCGCGAAAGTTTTTTAATCCCGCGAGAGGATCGCGCAACCAGGGTTTTTCATTAACAGAAACTACGAAACATCTGACGGTGGCAGCCCTAGCGTTCCTAGTGGATTACTTCCGGGTCACCCGGTACGTGGCGAACACGTTGCTGCAAACTGGAGACGTGGGATCAACTACCAAACGATTAGGCTTGAACATTTAGTCGTTGGATTTGTATCTTTTGTATCTCCCAAGTTCACTCGGCAAGCAAGTTTTATGAGAGAAATACTATTCAATTAGAATATTCGAACACTGATGGATAGAAATGGGATCGTGTATGTGATCATGCTTGCAAACAGACATGTGTCAGAGATGTTGAACTTGATTTGTATAAAATAAATATTGAACAGAACTTACATATATAATTTAACACATTAATTGTCGAACTATTGTATATTGAACTACAATGAAATATTGCACACTAATGAAACGTTACAGTGAACTGTTCTATATTATATAATTTGATATACCTTTGCATTAAACTATAATGGAATGTATTTTATATACGTTATATTTGCGTGTACATTAGACGACAATGAAATGTATATATTGAATTATAATGAAATATATGTACTGAATTCGATGAAATATGTATATCACATGCGTTGAACTGTATACAACTGTATACAGTGAACTTGATCAAATACTGTGTAATTGAATTTGAACTTGATTTTTATAAAATGCATGCATTAAACTTGAGGAAATATATACATTGTATACATATTAAACTTGTACATTGAACCATGGTGCAATATGTGCATTGAACTAGATGAAACATACACATTATATACATATTATATTATAAAAAAATGTATACACTGAATTTGTTGAAATATTGTATATACAATTTTAAACTCGACTTGTATAAAATGTATGTACTGAATTTGATGAAATATAGATATAAAATTTATGTACAATTTAATGAAATACAAATATATATTTTCATCTTTTACATTATTTCATTAATATAATTATAAATTATAATTACAAACATTGGACTTGTACGCGGAACTACAATGACACTGAACGTGACTCGAATTCTTATGCGAATGCATATTTTCTAACTGCAACGAGTAGCGATGCCAGACAGGAAATATATAGTGAACAAGGGACTATGGAGGCATTCGATGTGCTCAAGGCTGGAAGTTGCGAAACGTGTATGGACTCTCGCCTTTGCTCCCATCGAAACACTCACTTTATACGAGAATTTTACTACATTCGCCGCCCTGTCCTCGAAATGAATACTAATTTTATTCACTCTGTACATCTGATAAAATTCTCGGTGTACACCGTGGCGGCAAGAATTCACGAATGCGTAGAATCTGATAGATAGAGCACAGCTTAATTTCCTTTTTGCTCGGAAGCACGACGTTTTAATCAATTTTTTTTTCCCCTCCATACGAACACGGGCTATTTATTTAGAATCATTTTGTACCTTTAGCTTCTGACATTGGAGATCATTCTTCGACTGGGACGTGATGGAAATTAGAGCATTTTGGAATGTTAAGAATTAAATTAATTTTGAATTAGATTTTTCTGTTTGATACGCGTGAAGAGTCTTTCTTGTGTATAACTATCTTTGACAATTCGATTGTATAGAAGCTTCGCTCTGTTTAATTTCTGATGAAACATTTATTTCCTAGACAAATCGAGAAAATGGAAGGAGAAACAGTGAAGGGGAAAGAAGAAAGTAGAATTCAAAAAATCAATACGATAGACAACTAATTAAAAGACCAAGAGAACCGAGGAAATTACTATAATTATATCATACACGGTTACGAACTTCCCCAACCTCAAGATCTAATTCAACCTTCAACCCCAATCTCAACTTTGGGTGCCTAAAATTCAATTTGAATTATTCTCGAGCACAAACTTGGTGCAGTTACAAACTTTTCGATATTCTGAATCTATTTTGACATCTGAGTCAAAATTTCTACTCGTCCACATGTTAATTTCTAATAAATTCGTGGTGAAACTTTTAAAACAACCGTTCCATTATGAATTTAATTTTCGTAGCGTAATAATAATTGAAAACACACCGAGCAATGACTCACGCCGATATTCAATATTTACGTCTTACGTTCGATAGCGCGTTTCGATTAATCGAACGATCCTTCCCACGGCGGCTGGCCGATATCGGTGGCGGAGCAAAAACCTTCATAACCGCGACAAATTCAATGACAATGTATGGCCGCGGCGCGCCCCGTCTCTCTGGAATAATCAATTACCACAGGATCATCAATTAACTGGGAAAAGTGTAACGATTTAACGGCGCCAGTGGAACGGATAAAAGAAGTGGGACATGTATAGAAGATAATTCAGGGATCAATAAAGAAAATAAAATTTTACTTTTTCCGATCGTGTCGAAGAATTTTCCTGAATTTTGAAGTTCACATTATCGTAAAATTTAATCTATCAATACGTATTTATATTAAAAACACTCTTAATTTAAAATTAAATAAATTTAAACGATCACCAGAATTGAAAATGAATTTAAATTTAATTCACGACATTAAATTCATTTTTTAAATACAAAGTTTATTATCCATTGGGGATAATTTCATTTCTATTATTTTACATGATTATTTTATCAATGATAGAAATATGGATTAATAAATTAATAAATTTGTAATTTGAAATGTATTACAAGCGATTGAAATTTTCACATTATTTGTTCGATTGGATCTGAATTGCTTGTTGAATTTTATCATAGAGTTCAATGCAAAATTTCGGATTCTGTAGAACATGTTCTAATTTCAAATTTTTGATTCATGGTATATTTCTCCCGATGATAAAGAATGTTTTATTTTGTTGAGATGAATGGAGATAACTTTTCTAAACTTTAGAATTTACATAATCGTAGAATTTAATAGAAAGTTAATAGATAATTTGTGAAATGTATTATATACAACTGATCAAAAATTTTGGCCTCATTATAGAATTCAAAGTAATCAGTGGAAAATTTTGGATCCTATAGAATGTGTTCTAATCTCTGGTACATTTCTC